TTGTCGGGTTCCGGGCTGCGGGGAAACGGGGTGGGGGCGAGTTAGCCGCATCCACGGGGTAAAAAACCCAGACAGATGGGCAGACAGACAAACAGACGAGGCGGTGAGGCACAGAGGGAGGCTGGCACTCGCTGGGACTCTGAATGGGTCCCTCGCTGGCGTGCCCGCCTACTCCTTGCAGGGTGTGCAGAGATGTGTGACTGAATCCAAGCTTCTTCTCTGCTCCTTCTCTACAGAGAGGATATGTGGACATACTGTGAGTGCAGCTACAGAGAGCTCCGCCACAAAGATCGGCTCCAGATCCTCCGGCTCTTTCAGGCCTGCAGAGCCCGGAGCTGCGGTGTGGCGTTCCACCTCGGAGACTCAGAGGGGTAAGTTAGTCCGAATATTTGTGGGTGTGGAGGCAAATGCATACGTGTGAAACATGCAAACACACACACACACACACACACACACACACACACACACACAAACAGACTCTTCTGACACAACAGCAAAACACAAAGTCGAACAACGGCGGGCGCCTTCCTCCGCTCCTATCGCCATGTTTGAGCGTTGTGTCGTATCGTCGGGTCGATATCTCAGTAGCTACACTAGCGTTGCGAGAGAGGCGGTTTATCGCGCCGAGAACCGTGGCTCCGTTTCGACTTTTGGACAAAATCGAGCGGATCCGTCCTCCGCCGCGTCCCCACCTGTAGTTCGGGCGTTCCGGGTCGGCATTTTGTGCGTACGGAAGAGAGAGAGAGACGGTTTTGGAGGGAGCGAAGAAGGACGAGTGCTGTAATGTTGGGCCCAGGGCCAGGCAGGGCCTGCTACACAAGGCCGAGCCCAACCACAACGCTCTCTCTTTTCTCTCTCTCCCTCTCTCTCCCTCTCACTCCCTCTCTCTCTCTCTCTTCCTCCCTCTCTGCTCTGTTTTTTTTTTCTTAAATGCGAAATATCAGAAAACGATTTAAAGCAATTCTCATGTTTAAAATGTTCATGTTTTTACATAAAAATGGTCAAAAACGGATCGGCGCTGACACGTGGCCACATATTGTGGTAGTAAAGTCTAAACGGAGCTTTTACACAGAAATAATGTTTTTTTTTCCTCAATTCTTTTTTTTATTTTTGTATTTTGTAACATCTAGCGTTTATGTACGGAAAACATTATTCTCATTTTTGTTTGTGTTTTTGTGCGAAGTTCAATTTTAACGTTTCAATTCACAGCAACGGTTCGGCGTTTTGGCCGCAACGAAACAAACGATTTTTTACACTTTGTCTATTCGTTTTAAACAACTTCATCCTTGTGAAAAAAAAACGTATTTTTCGGTGGTATCTTTTCAACATTATAATAATAATAATAATAATAATAACAACAATAATAATATTAACCATAACAATAAAAACATTTAGCTCGTCCTCTTACCAAAGCCAAGTCGGACATGTCGTCAGAATTCTGCGAGAATATTATTTTGGAAACTACTCACGCCAACAGATAGTCTCACCTCTCCGTGTAGATCTCCTCGCCACATCAGAATCAGCCATAACCGTTAGGTAGGAGTGGAGACGACGTGAGTCATCACACGTAGCCTCAGCCTTCCCGCCTACATTCTCGTTCCGCCTCTGACAGGCCTGTTCATCTGCCACTCTCACACTCGAGGCTGCGCGCTCCGCCGCCACCGCAGCGAAATCAATGACGTATATTCACGTGTTTGCTGCGTCCAAAAAAAAAAAAACCCTGTTCTGAGAGGAGTTTGAATTCATGCATCACATCAGTGGACAACAGCAGCCTCTTCAGCTCGAAGCGCTGTTCATTTTTATTTTGACTTCATTTCATGCGAACATGAGAAAAGGACGGATGTAAAGACGCGTTCGTGTGTGTGCCACGGCCGTTTCCATAAACGAGAACAAATTATAATTACAAAAATGCTGCAACTTGAAGTGCAGTATTTGTCATCGACTTCTTTGTGAATGTGTACGATTTTAATTGCGACTTAAGTCAAGAAAGTTCGCTTTAAATATTGTCCGTCCTTGTAATATTTTTTTTTTCTCGCTTACACCAAAAATCACACACACGCACTCACACACACACACTTAAAGCTTAAAATGTAAAAAAAAAAAGAATTATTGTCTTCACAAAAGAGACAAAAAAATAGTTTCCTGTTGTTTTTTAAATGTTGACGTGTGAAAGACTAAAGGCTAATTTTGTGGTGCTTTTGTAAAAGTGTTTTCCCTCATGAGAACTTCTTCACAGTCATGACTTAACCACAGAGAAGGAATTGAAAAATGGAAGTTGGTTTCTGAATCTGGTATAAAACAAAACAGAAAGAAAAAAAAAAAAACCAAAAAAAAATTTTTTTTCCAGATTGTTATAGAACCTGACAAAATCAACAAAGACAGGAAGTGTGTGAAGTGAAACGTAAAGACAATCACACCACATCATAAACCAGACATGCAACACACCATTGGAGAGACAGAAATACACACACACACACACACAGGGGCAAACACCCAGACACATTTGATGCCATGTACCCCACAATGAACCCAGGCTCCGGAGATGAATGGGGTTCCCACGCCTCTCCGAGGAGAGCAGGGCACAGCCTCCTCCTCTGAGCATTCACACACACACACACACACACACACACACACACACAACGCACGCCAGCCCCACAGATGGCCATAGACTTACCCAGACACACACACACACACACACACACACAGGTGCATTAGTGGCACACACTTACTAAAGTACAAATATATTCCTGGAACACATTTTAAAGTAATGTTTTTTACGGCTTTTGTGATTAAAATATATTTTATTTTTTAAATATTATTTTTAGTCTTTTTTGTGAAAAGAAAATTTCTTAGTGATATATTTGAGGCTTTTTACACACTGTCTGTGTCAGGTCGTGTGTGTGTGTGTGTGTGTAAGTGTGTGTACGAGTCAGTCCAAAGTTTGTTTTATGTATTTATATATATATATATATATATATTTACTAATGTTAAATGAAGAAGAAATGAAACTTAATGACATGGTAGAACATTTAAGACACCATACACACATATATAAATATATATGTGTGTGTGTGTGAGAGAGAGTGTGTGCATGATAATTTAAAAAAATGGCGATTTCTCTATATTGAATTTTTCTATTGTTGATTTTATGATTTAATTTAAATTTATTTCATGTTTGACAATTTTATATTAATCAACTGATTCACATGAGTTGCAATTCAGAATCTCTTTGCTGTGGTGTGTGTGTGTGTGTGTGTGTGTGTGTACCAGAATAGCATAAGAATTCGAAGAATATTGAAATAATTTCCTATAATTCAAGGAAAAATAAACTAAAACATCGATTGGTTGAATTTGAAAGTTAAATTCACAGAATGCATTTAAATAAAAAAATGAATCCACTTTTCTTTTTTCAAAAGTTTTTTGTTGTCAAAAAAGTAAACTTGAAAATTATATAAATGTATACAGATTATATATAAATATATTCCAAAAAAAAAAAAAACAAACAACCCAAACTGAGGAGGATAAAGCAGGTCACAGCCTGGAGGGCAGTCAGCTCTGGTCAGTCCACGGTCACTCAGTCGTCCAGTCTGAACTCAGCCATGATCACTGCAACATCTGTCACATCAGCCTTAATGATACACTCAAGGAGGTGTGTGTGTGTGTGTATATACACACAGTATTCATGAGTGCATGTGCAGATATCCACGAGTTCAACCTTTTCTGTTTTTTTTTTACCCACAGTGTCACTGCGTAAAAAAGTCGTCCCTCCGTGGAGCCAGTGTCCAGGTCAGTTTGTTTTTTTTTTTTAAATAAAAGAGTTGAGTGTGTGTCTGTGTGTAAAAGGGATTTGTTTTTATGTTTTCTATCTCAGTGACCTTCAGCTTAGAGTCGCATTTACAGCTTCTCTGTCGTCATTTATTTATTTATTTGTGTCTTTTTTTTCTTTATTATTTTTTTACAGATTCTGCTTAAATATTAAGCTTCATCCAGCGACGTGTAACAAACGGCCGCCCGACGTGTCTGCATCAGCTCATCACAGTCAGTAAGTGTGTGACACAGCTCTAACTAAATAATCTCCTCAAAGAAGTCAGAGTTTTATTTGTGTGTGTGTGTGTGTGTGGGAGGAGAAGGGGTGAGTTAGAGAGGGGGGGGGAGTAGGTGAAAGAAAAGACGTCACCTTAAAGGTCAAATGAAGATTAGAGGGAAACGGGACACGAGGGCACGCCGGCTGGCACCCGGAACTGCACAAAGGTCTCATTGTCACGGGAAGCCCTCGGCTCTGCACACACTTCCCCCCTGTGTGCACTTGGGGAGATGTGACACCTGTTGGCGATACTGGTCAACTACAGGCAGAGGGCGATGCAGGGACCTCTGCTGTCTCACAGCTTTTTCTTTTTTTTTTTTTTTTTTCATTTTCTCTCATCATTCATTTTTCGCCGCTAAAATAAAACACATGAATGTCCAAAGTGATCCCCGGCTGCGTCTGGATCAGCTGACACCTCTGGCGTGCGGCGTCACCGGGTCAGCAGTTTTATCTGAAGCTAATGACGTAAAGTGCAAAATGACATCAAACGCTAACGTGACAAAGATAAAAACATCAAACTCGCGCACAGACGAAGTGTCTCCTGATTTACGTCCACTCGTCCGACGGTTGTATCCCAGCTCTTCACACACACGGGCTCCGCTCACTTCAAAGGGAGCTGTGGTTAATCTCAAATAACACTGAGGATCGGTCCTGACACTTTTACACACATCTATACTTTATGGCGCCATGTGTCCAGGACATTATAGATGTAGCTTTGGAGGAAGGAGAAGAACGTCCCGGATCATTTACATATTTATTTAAAAAAACGATATCATGTTTTTGCTTCATAACAATGTAATGCTGTTGGTAGCAGTGGTTTCCAACGAGTGGCTGGGGACCCGTAAATGGGTCACAGATTTGTGTCAGAGGTGATAACAGAAGAAACATGTGAAAGAATGATGTCGAACAGATGTTTAATAAGGAGATTTACTTTGAAATAATGCGTATACGCTAGGGGTGTGCGTTGGCAAGAATCTGGCGATAACGATAACGTGTCACGATACGATATATTGCGATACTATAGCCATGAAGATATATCGAGTTTTACTTGAGCAATTTAATTGCAGTAAAACTGCCAGCACAGTAAAGACTCTGCTGCTGTTCCACCTGAACATCAGGTTAGTGAGACTGGAACAGAGGGGACAGAAAAGAAAAAGAAAATGAACCGACACCAGGAATATTGGACTGGAATTAATGATAAAAAAATCAATACACTGATGGAGGATGTCCATATGGTGTAGTGAAAAGATATATTGCAATATTTCAGTGTATTGATATTTTCTTACACCTCTATTATACACACACAAATATATATGTGCTGTGATAAACGTCTTTTTTTTGTGTGTTTTGTTAGAGACATTTTCAGAGAGAGACAAACGCTGCGTTTTAAACAAACCTGGCAGAAAGACGTCTCTCACTGATCATGTGCTGCTGCACAATTAGCAGCTCCTGCTGAGCCGTAACATACATTAAGGCCCTCGGTTAGCGCCGAGGCCACTGTGTGTTAACTACCACAGTGTGGAGCTAATGGACTGGTGATTAAATCCACTGAAGTCTTTATGTCTGAGCAACGAAGAT